CTCTGGCTCTAGCACATATCCTGAGAGTAATGAATATTTGCTGAATGACCACATTTTAGATAATTTATTGCCCAATTATCCTCCAATTCCTAAGAATGAAAAGGAAGGTTTCCTTAAATGCATTTTAAGGCTAACAGACGTTTGCATATGTATTCACCATGGGAAGGAAGGCAAGCAGGAAGGTAAGCAGACCACACCACGGGCTGACTGGAGAGCTGAATAGAGCAAAGCATGATGTCTTCATTTAATGTTCAACTAAGAACAGTCCGAATGTCTACATATGTCTTACCTGTCAGTTCCACGAGCCCATTCTACAGGCATGTTAACCAACTTATTAACTAAAAATAATTTGTTCAGTAAATAAGCAATCATGCTTGACTCTTGCAAAGAATCACAATGATCCTCCACTCCTCTGGACATCCCCGCATGGATCGGAAGGGTGGCTGTGTATTTAGTCGACAAATCCAAAACTTTTCTGGAAAATAAATTGACTCTGGTCGAGTCCTTCATCGAATCGGCCTGACATAAGTCCCAACCCGGCAGCATCAAGGAGAAGTGGTCTTCATTTGAAGCAAGTCCTAAAGAAACGGGACCTTGAAGCTTTAAAATATTGAGATGCTTCATGCAAAGATTATCTAATTCTTTATCCAATCCCCACGGCAAGAGGCAAGACAGAAGCAATTTCGCTGTGTCTACTGTGAGGGTGGCATCCACCTTTCTTGATGGCTTAGCGTGCATCTTTTTGGAACTCTTCATCTTCTTATGCCTCTTGATGCCCTCATTTTCTTCAAAGAGCTTGGGGGTGCTATCTTCTTGGACTGGGCTTTCAATTGCAGGTTTGGCTTGTGTCTCCCCTGAGAGAGGCCCACAAGCAGTCTTATGTTTCTTCAGCGTTAATGTCTTCTTCTCAACCGTGCTCTTGGCTCGTCTCAGGATCTCACTGCCATAGAACGAATTGCAGGCGTCAACCTCACTGATGGGAGTTGGCAACAGAAGCTCCACAAGGTTTTCAAGGTCAAATAAGAGCATGTGAAAGCCCAAGTTACTCCATGTTGTCTTCAC